GCTGCATGTAAACAGGAATATTAGTGAATATTAATTTTCTTTATTCATGTAAACTGAATATTTGGTGCATTTTAACGTGTTTAGTGATTTTCACAGAGCCTAAATATCTTGTTTTGTCCAATAAACACTTGATTATACTCAACTAAAAATAATAAATATATATAATAAGATATATAAGTAAACAAAGCAGTAAATCATCACATAGAGCTGAAAGTGTTGAATATTTGTCTTTTTCTTCAAAAAGGACAATTAATCGATTATCAGAATAGTTGGCGGGTATCTGACTAAATATAAATAATGTAAATCTGTTATCTGGTGACGCTTTGGTTCTTTAATAACCAGAAATATCTGAGAGTAAAAACAAAACAATGTTGTCGCCGTTTTATTCAATAACTGACTTCTTAAACTGCAGAAGTTTCCTGAGAATTTTCATGTTTACAAGTTTCCTTCAGTGATCCGGTGATCATTGACTCGACATTTCAGGATAAACTGCAAACAGGAGCTTCTTATAGACGCTTATAGATGCATACTTTTAATTCACTTAACGGTAATTATTAAGTCTCAGAATGTCTCATCATCCAATCAAAACACAGATATTTACTGTGATGAAAACCTGAGAACACACGAGCAACTAACTCAATTTAAAGACGCATAAAACATGTATTTTTATCATTAAACAGTTATTATGACGCAGAGTGTTCAACGGGTTAAATAATCAAAGGTTCTCCAGGATGTGTGGGAACACTGACGGCATTAAATATTAATATTAATCAGCTGGTGGAGGATTCCTGGAAGCTCAGCGGTCACATGACGCGAGCAAACAGGAAGTACCGGAGCTTAAGTGAAACAGGGAAGCACCGAAATAATCCTTCAGACAGAAGTTCCATCTGGAACCTCTTCATGGTTTCTAATGACTGTTGATGTAAAGACCTGATCGTCTTTATCTGAAGCTACAAGATGTCAGTTTGTGGGAAAGAGACAAACATTGACCCCAAAACCTCCTGGAGGACCTCGCAGTCTGTGCAGCACTCTTCTTCAAGACCACAACGCCTCGTAAAATATTCATTAAACATCCTCAAGAACCTCTTCAAGCACTCTTGAATCCTCTCCTCAACTCCTAAATCCTCTTCAAGGACCCCCGAAGCACCTTCTGTACTTCCTAGTATGTCCTCAAGCAATCCTTGAACCTCTTCAATGACCCCAGAAACAAGCTTTGCTCTACAAGCTCCTCAAAAAACTTCCCAAAACCACCACGAGGAACTCTGCTCAAGGCAAGGCAAGTTTATTTGTATAGCACATTTCAACAACAAGGTAATTCAAAGTGCTTCACATAAAACCATTAAAAGCATCAAAACATAAGGCAAAAGAGATTTAAAAAACAATTAAGAAACATACATTGAAACACTCTAACCCGGCCTCCCTGAGGTCTTATTTAGCGTGGGACTCCAACCCCGTCTCGGGACTCTAACCCGGACAATTGGACGCGGGACTCCAACCCCGTCTCGGGACTCTAACCCGGCCTCTCTGAGGTCTTTCAATGACACTTTTTATCGGTTTACCAGGACTTTTCAGACATAGTAACGTAAACATCACTAAATGTCGTGTTTTCAATCAGCAGTATTTGGAAATTGATTAATATATTAATTGAATGTGGTTGAATTAAAGGCAGCAGCAAACAGAAAAGTCTTCAATCTTGATTTAAAGGAGCTGAGGGTCTCAGCAGACCTGCAGATTTCTGGGACTTTGTTCCAGATATGTGGAGCAGAGAAACTGAACGCTGCCTCTCCATGTTTAGTTCTGACTCTGGGAACAGAAAGTAGACCGGTCCCAGACGACCTAAGGGGTCGGTATGGTTCATAAGGTAGCAGCAGATCAGAGATGTATCAAGGATCCCTAAAAACCTCCATGAGCATTCAAGGACCAACAGAACCATCCCAACGTTTCCTGACTCACCCTTAATGACCACTACGGTCAACGTGAGGACACTTCAAGCACTCCTTGAACTATTTCAAGCACCACTAACCATGAACACTCTTCTGGGTCCACTAGAACCTTAAAGAGGGCATAAGAACCCACTCAGGAACCACATGGTCCTCCTCAAGAACCCGAGGAACCTCCTCAAGTACCATTGGACCTCTTCGAGGCCCTCTTAAATCCTCTCCTCAACTCCTAAATCCTCTTCAAGGACCACTGAAGCACCCTGGTACCTCTTAGAATGTCCTCATTTAATCAAGTACCACAGAATCTTTTCAAGGATCCCTAAAAACCACCACGAACCATGAACACTCTTCTGGGTCCACTAGATCCACCTCATGAACCACATGGTCCTCCTCATGAATCCGAAGAACCTCCTCAAGTACCACTGGGGCCTAAACAAGAACCGTTAGAACCCCTCAAGCACCTTTCAAGTTATTAGGGCGTGTCCTCAAGCACTCTTCACGGATCCCCAGAGTCTAGTAGGTCTGAATGAATGTGGATTCAAAGGACCGGCTCTGTGCTCAGGAGGTGGACTTTAGCTCGGTGGCGCCCTCTGCAGGTGAAGCTCAGCACTGCTGACGGTTTGTACAGAACCTGATCAAATACAAATATAATGTTGTATAAATATAAATATAAAGTGTTTTTAGCAGCTGTTGTTTGGGTTTAATGAATGCCAACACTAGAGATTACTATAACAAAGTATAAAGTCATAGTTGATGATGATGATAAATGTTAGTTTGTGATCTACAGGCCCGTTGGAGATATTCGGGTAAATAATGGTGAGAAAGGTAAAATAACGGTGACATGGAAGGTTGATGTTGTGCGGTGCGTTCGGCTCAGAGCAGCTTGGTTTCAGGTGGTGAACGTTTGTTTACCTCCGGGTTCACATAGTGTCTCCTGATCACCTGCCACAGTCGGCATGTAATGAGCATGTGCAGCAGCGAGCTCCCGATGAACACGCCGAAACCGCTTTTATGAACACCTGCAGCACACAGACGGGTTATTAGAACACTTTCATCTCTCACACACACACACACACACACACACACACACACACACACTTATACATGATAATTATCTATCTAAAGATTTTAGAATTAGTGTATTGTACTCACTGTAGGTGTCGGTGGACGACACGTACGTGAGCAGCAGCAGGCCGGTGTTCTCGGTGAGGCTGCAGAGGAGAGCCAGCCCGCTCAGCAGCAGCTCCGGCAGCCTCTTGGAGAAGCGGCCGTGGTAGAAGCTGAAATAGGCGACGGACACCAGGTAGCGCGGCGCCGAGTGAAGGCCGACGCAGCAGCGCCAGATGTAGCGCTCGGGGACGCGGCTGATGGCGGCGCTGATGGACGGGAGGTAGTTTGACACCTGAGGGCCAAAAGGGAAAAACACACACGGACGATTATTTCAGCTTTGATCTGGTCATAATGTAATGGTTTGTATTCTCCCCATTTATATAAACTACGGTTTAAAAGTCAGTAATGTCCAGAGAGAAAGCTTGATTATATGATCTACAAGTCTTTTATTTTGTAGAAAGTCTCTTTATTAATAATAAGATGTTGTTTAGTTTAGTAGACGGAGAATAAAACTCTGTTCAAAGAGACAAAGATCCTCTGAGCAACAGATGAACAAGAAGAGACGAAATCAGCTAGAAGCTTACCTTTAAACAGGAACAGCTTCCTGTTTCAGTGTCAAGAGTTTCACAATAAAAGCATCCTAGAACAAGCTCGAATTAACACAGTAGCAACAGAAGGTTAGTGTAGAGTCAGCTGAACTCATCACAGTTTAAACCTCTTCAAACAGAGAGACTAACTATATTTAGAGCTCTGTTATGGTTTATTTTATGACACCAGGGCCCCGTTCCTCGTAGCGCTATCCATTCTGCCCACAAGGAATCATTTATTTACAGACCTTCTGGAGCATACATTGAACACCACATGCTGCAGCCGAGCACTGATGTCTCACACACTGGATGCAGCCTTGAGCTGTTCTGCGAGTGGTACATTGTTGTACAGTGTCGGCCATGAGGAGAACATGGGGAAAGCCGCTGCATGCCGTGCTGTTGGTAAAGTTTATTTGGCACTTAATAAACTTATGGATGTGTTCATTACATCACCATGGCACATATT